CATTTAGTTTATCAAAGTGGGAGATTTGGGGCATTTTTGATGTAATATGATCAGATTTGAGCCGTAGAAGGACAAAGCTGAACTCACACTAGGACTGTAGAACCACAGCCAAAGCACTGATCACCCTCAAGTTTTGGAACGTTTGTCCAGTGTGAGCGAAACTGAACTGTGTCCAGACACGACACGGTGGGGACTTTGACCCGGGTGGAAGAGACGGACCAAAGCAGAACATGTACACACACACACACGACTTTACTGTATGAGCCGTGTGTGTGTGTGTGTGTGTGTTGTAAATGGTACGAGGTGTGAGTGCAGAACATAGAACCCACAGTAATCGTACTTGAGAAGTATCAGTGCTCCTTCGTTACTTCTGTGGCTGATTATTGGTTGATTCTGCAGCTCAGGCTCAGTTATGATTTTATTTTTCAGATTCATATCTTCAAATGGAGGACAGGAGGTAATTTCATATTCTTTACGTGATTGGTTGAATTAAGAATTATTTCAAGTAAAAATACACAAAAAGTCTCTTTAATTACAAAACATGTTACAACAAAGTGCTGTTGAGGCTCAGATGCCCCGCAGGAGGCCAGAGTCCAGAGGAGTCAGTGATTCCTGTACCACGACGCCTCCTCACGACGCCTCCTCACGACGCCTCCTCACGACGCCTCCTCACGACGCCTCCTCACGACGCCTCCTCACGACGCCTCCTCACGACGCCTCCTCACGACGCCTCCTCACGACGCCTCCTCACGACGCTCCCTGTACCACGGCGCCCCCTCTAGGCCACAGTGGGGATGAAGTACTGCAGGGACACGTCTTCATGGAGCAGGATCAGGTGCACGAGGCGATGATGGACCAAGTCTGGAACACAAACAGGAGAACAGTCAGTGTGAAACAGAACGCTCTGTTCTAGAGGGAGGCGTGTGTGTGTTCTGTGTTCTAGACGGAGGTGTGTGTGTGTTCTGTGTTCTAGAGGCGTGTGTGCGTTCTGCGTTCGAGGTGTGTGTGTGTGTGTTCTGTGTTCTTTGTTCTAGAGGGAGGTGTGCGTGTGTGTGTTCTGTGTTCTAGAGGTGTGTGTGTTCTGCGTTCTGTGTTCTAGAGGCGTGTGTGTTCTCGGTGTGTGTTCTGTGTTCTAGAGCGTTCGTGTGTGTGTTCTGTGTTCTAGAGGCGTGTGTGTGTTCTGTGTTCTAGAGGCGTGTGTGTGTTCTGTGTTCTAGAGGCGTGTGTGTTCTGTGTTCTTTGTTCTAGAGGCGTGTGTGTGTTCTGTGTTCTTTGTTCTAGAGGCGTGTGTGTGTGTGTTCTGTGTTCTAGAGGCGTGTGTGTTCTGCGTTCTGTGTTCTAGAGGCGTGTGTGTGTTCTGCGTTCTGTGTTCTAGAGGCGTGTGTGTGTTCTGTGTTCTGTTCTTGTGTTCTGTGTGAGAGTGCGTGTGTGTGTTCTGTGTTCTAGAGGTGTGTGTGTTGTGTTCTGTGTTCTGTGTTCTAGAGGCGTGTGTGTTCTGTGTTCTGCTGTGTTCTGTGTTCTGTGTTCTAGAGTGTTCGTGTGTGTGTGTTCTGTGTTCTAGAGGCGTGTGTGTGTTCTGTTCTGTGTTCTTTGTTCTAGAGGCGTGTGTGTGTGTGTTCTGTGTTCTAGAGGGTGTGTGTGTGTGTTCTGTGTGTGTGTTCTGTGTTCTGTGTTCTAGAGGCGTGTGTGTTTCTTTGTTCTGCGTGTGTGTTCTGTGTTCTAGAGGCGTGTGTGTGTGTGTCTGTGTTTCTGTGTTCTGTGTTCTAGAGGCGTGTGTGTGTTCTGCGTGTTCTGTGTTCTAGAGGTGTGTGTGTGGTCTGTGTTCTGCGTTCTAGAGGCGTGTGTGTTCTGCGTTCTGTGTTCTAGAGGCGTGTGTGTGACTCACTGCACAGGGCCTTGGTGGGGTGGACCTGTTGACCCGTCAGAAACTGCTGCAGCCTCCGGACGTCCAGTCGAACCTGAGCCATGACCTCACGATCCCGCTGAGACACGTCATCTCCTCAACACAGAACATCAGAACGTCAGAACATCAGAACACCAGAACACAGACCATCAAAACATCAGAACAGTAGAACACCAGAACATCTGACGTCAGAACACCAGAACACCAGAACATCAGAACACCAGAACACCAGAACATCAGAACATCAGAACATCAGAACATCAGAACATCAGAACATCAGAACATCAGAACATCAGAACATCAGAACACCAGAACATCAGAACACCAGAACATCAGAACACCAGAACATCAGAACACCAGAACATCAGAACACAGAACATCAGAACACCAGAACACCAGAACACAGAACATCAGAACATCAGAACACCAGAACACAGAACATCAGAACACCAGAACATCAGAACATCAGAACACAGAACAACACATCAGAACAACAGAACATCAGAACATCAGAACACAGAACATCAGAACATCAGAACACCAGAACATCAGAACAACAGAACAACAGAACAACAGAACATCAGAACAACAGAACATCAGAACAACAGAACATCAGAACACCAGAACATCAGAACAGAACAACAGAACACCAGAACATCAGAACACCAGAACATCAGAACAGAACAACAGAACATCAGAACATCAGAACACCAGAACATCAGAACACCAGAACATCAGAACAACAGAACATCAGAACGCCCAGTGGCTTCCAGAGGTCTGATTCTGTGGAGAAACTCCTAAAAAGTTCTAAACCCGGACTCACCCCAGGGCGGGTTCCCCAGGTCTTTAAAGTGAGTCGTGACTGAGACCAGGTCCGTTTCGATCTTCAGGTTCATCTCTCCGCTCATGTTCGCCTCCAGAACCTGAGAAACAAAACGACGTTAATGATTCTAAATGAGCGTCTGGACTTTGGGACAAACGAGAACCTCAAACGGACGCACCAGGAACTGAGACAGGTTCTTCATCCGGTCCACCACGTTCTTCAGGGTTTTGAGCGGAGGAAGGTAAATACTGACCTGACAGACACAAGGAAGAAC